CTAATCATTTCAAAGTTAAATCTCGTATTTTTCAAGCTAATCATTTGAAAGTTAAATCTCGTATTTTTCAAGCTAATCATTTGAAAGTTAAATCTCGTATTTTTCAAGCTAGTCATTTGAAAGTTAAATCTCGTATTTTTCAAGCATCTATAGAACAGATCAGACATGCACCGATTTTTCTAAGCATCTATAGAACAGATCAGAGACATGCACCGTATTTTTCAAGCATCTATAGAACAGATCAGAGACATGCACCGTATTTTTCAAGCACCTATAGAACAGATCAGAGACATGCAACGTATTTTTCAAGCATCTATAGAACAGATCAGAGACATGCACCGATTTCAATCTCATTTTTTTTTTTTTCAATTTCAATCTTCAAAGTTTGGTGATAATAGTTGCTCGGCATATTGATTACAATTGTTTCAAGCATTTGTTTCCTGCTATGAATGAAGATAAAACATTTACAAATAGTTTATAAAAATCTTTAACGAATTTTTCATCTGACGAAGTAGATTTTTTTATAGAATTTCAGTTCAGTTAAATAGTTTCATTTCATTATAGTTACACGTAACTGATATTAAATAGTTCTCAAGTAAGTTTTGTCCTTAACATGCTAAACAAATTAATAATTTAACCCAGTACAGCAAGTATTCTCAAGTGGTATTATACTGCCATACATATAATACGGTGTTGCCTTATAGGCTCTAGTAATAATTATATCATTTATGTAACTAAACTAAAATATTATGAAATAATTATAATATTATTTTGCTTCGAAGGCATTGATATGATCATTGAATTTTTCTTTACAGCATCTATTAGTGTTAGTTAACTTTCATTGCCATATTGAAATCATAATTAGTAATTAAACAGTACAGTAAGAAATATGGTTGTATTCGGTATCTATTATTTGGATTTGCTCTAAACCAAATACACAGTTAGAACCTGAGATTCTGTGAAAATATAACAAAATTGGAATGAATATAATAAATTCAGTAGTCATTATAATTTTATAATTCTGATTCATACCAGAAACCACATAATAAAGTGTAAACCAGGTATTAAACACACTAGTCTTCGTAAATACCCCCCCCCCCTTTCTAAAGGGTTCATCATTGTGCTTGTTCATAGACAATAGAGGCCTCAACAAATATCGGACGCCAGGTCGCCATAGCGACAAAAAACTACATCGTGACGCCTATTATTTTCTCCATTTTATTTGTACATAGGTGTGTTAAGAGAGAATCGAATCTTGAACAGTTCTGGATACTTTGATTTTAGTACTATTTTTGCGTTCTTTGAGTCCTCAATCCAACTTTGTTTCTAGGATTTTAATGGCGGATTAAGCAATTCTTCGTGTTTTTTTCAAGAATGAAGTGTTACGGTTGCACAACTCATTATTAATTTCGCACCATTTTGTTTTCATTCTTTCTCTCAATTCAACCAATCAGTACGCGTGTTTAGACTCGTATGGGACCAAAGGCAGTTAGTTCAGGCAATACTATCAAGTGGTTGTTGATATCATGTGATCTTTAACATGCACTCGTTGTTGTGAAAGTAAATAAAAATATACGTTAGGCACACCTGGCTCCTCAGTTCTTGGGCTGGCTCCTAGATCTGAAAATATTTGTTGAGGCCTGAGGTAATATATTAATCACACCTACAGAACTATTTCTGTTTGCACCTTTTAAGTTTTTCCATTTGCTAGAAACATTTCTGTAACTGGCAAATAAATACATCCTGGACTGCAAAGTTGAATTAATTAAAACTATTACTTATGCTATATTTATAAAAGGTACAATTACTGGGAAGTAAAACTTCAGAACTGTTTGTTTGTTTCTTGAATTTCGCACAAAGCTACACGAGAGCTATCAATGCTAACTGTTCCTAATTTAGCAGTGATAGACTAGAGGGAAGGAAGCTAGTCAACATCATCCATCACAATCTCTTGGGTTATTCTTTTACCTGCAAAAAGTGGGACAGACCATCACATTACAATGCCCTCATGGCTGAAAGGGGGCGAGCATATTTGGTAATGAGAATTCGAATCCACAGCCATCATATTGCAAATCAAGCACCTTAATCACCAGACCAAGACTTCAGAATTTCATTTACATGCATTACAAGGCAAAGGAAATACAGGAAAGCAGTTGTTTAGTTTTTCAATTTAAGTAATACATAACGCTACTAAAGAATAATTTTTGGAAACTATGATTTCACCAACCATTTCAGCAAAATCTTGAATCATAATTTCTACAAAATACAGGAACTATTGATGATGTAGCATGTTTCATAGGGTTATTATGAACAAAAGAAGATGGACATTTCGACTTTGTACTTTATATATATATTATTATTAGACATGCTTTCATTGAGAAGCATTAGATATACTCAATAAATGGTACTTTAGCTATTTTTTTTTAGTAACACATCAACACACACTATTGTACCATGCATGAGAGTATCAACAATTTAAGATATATAAAGCTGATTTTTTAAGTTCTTATGTTTATAAGCCTTTTGAAAATCATAAAAGGATTTTTATTAAATGCCTCATATCCATGCAGTACTAAAACAAACATTGTGATAAACTAAGTTATAACAAAAAGGCTCCAAATTGCCTATTCATTAAACATTTAAATATTTCTTTACAAATAGGTCACCAGATTTACAACAAATTGCAGAACTGGTGCATAAGGTACTTAACAATATATTTCTTACATACTTTTTACTGTAACTTATTCACACATGTAATCGAAGAACTGATGCATAAGTAGATAAAATTCATTTCTTAAATTTTAACTGCTTTTTACTGTAACTTATTCATACATGTAATTGAAGAACTGATCTAATCTTAAAATCAAATACTTGTTAAAATTGTTTTTAAATGATTACACAAGTTTAAGCAGGACAAAACCTTTAACTGGTTGGTAAAATACAAGCAGATTTTATTGCTAGTATTACAGATGTCTTATGTACCAGAAACCTTTAACTGGTTGGTAAAATACAAGCAGATTTTATTGCTAGTATTACAGATGTCTTATGTACCATTGCATTAAAAAACTATTATTTATTCTCACATTTCTCAATTTGGTTTTCAATATTCAACAATATTATAATAGAATTACTACAAATTTTTACACTGAGATTGGTCTTCTATCAAATAAACCTTGGAATTAGATCCAAAAGTGTCATTACAAAAAGAGATTACCCAGCTGACAATCTAATGCATTATAATTATTAACAGTCTTAGTTTTTTTATTACACTGATTTATAATATTAAGTAAAATTAGTCAGTTCATTATACGGGTTTGTCTTCATTAATTTATAAGTTTCTTTTTAAATAAGTTTAACCATGATGTATATAGTTATCTTACTTTTGACCTAAACTTAATAATTAGATCTATAGATGCTCAAAGTTGTATATATGATTCAAGTAAACATATAAAAATGTGCTGTGTGATAAACAGCTCTGCCAATACCATGGTCATGGTGAAAATAAACAAAGTACTATTTTTAACTTCTATAGTGTCCAATTAAAGAAAAATAACACATTTGGTGTTACAAGGTCATTTGTTATTAGTATTAAGCAAATACTTTTGTTTTTGATAACAGATTCTATGTGAGATTGTTTGTTTGTAATTAAACACATAGCTACAAATAGGGCTATCTGTACTCTGCCCAACACGGGTATCGAAACCCGGTTTCTAGTACTGTAGGTCCGCAGACATACCGCTCTGCCACTGTGGGGCTCTACGTGAGATCTAATAAATACAAAACGTTATATTAATATGTAAAAATACAAAATAAATTTGCAATCTTTTCCTGACTTACTTTAGAAAGGTAATTTATTTATTCCATATTAGAGCCAGATATTTTTTTTTAACTTGTATTCTATTACATTTCTTAGCATACAGCTATCTAAAGTTGGTCTCCAAATATTGTTCATGTTATCACCTTCAATTTAACTTTAGATAACATTACACAACATGGAAAAATGTTCTTCAAAACTATTTTAAGAGTGTTAGTTTAACATGAATTTTGTACAAGTAGTGTTACACATAGACATTTGCTACCACTGTGTGACTGTTGGGATAAAATATTTTTAGTAATTAACAAGATTTGTTCTTGAAATTTTATTCTGTATTACTTTGTAGTTAATCTGTCAACTGTTCTTTTAGCCGAAACAACAGTTCTATAGGTGACGATGGCAGTGTAGAGCTACTGATACATGTAGAGTATTTTAATGTTGGCAGCCAAGTAAAGTTTGTATTGTAAATTTCAAACTTTTGGTTTTTACTTTTAATTTTAACATTATTTTTTTTTGTTGCACCCTTAATAAATGCTCAATCAAACACAGTCAAACACATTTTAAACATAAATTTATTTTTACTTAAAAAAGACAAAAACACACTCAAAAATGTATTATCAAAAACTATTTACAACTATATAGTTTCATTTTTTTTTCAATGTACCAATTCATACAATCCAGCTATAGTGCTTTGAAAAATATATGCATAAATACAAATGCAATTTTGCTGGTTTGAGTGGTGAACAAGTACTGGAATGAAAGTCCAGCAATAAAGCAAAAAAAAATTATTCTCTTTGGTTATTACTTAACCCTGGCAATAGCCAGAAAGGTATTTTACATCAATAATGGCAGCAGTGAAGAAAATGTGTAAATGTAAAGTTATCATCCTGGTAAAAGTTGAACAAACTGTGCGAGTTCACCCAGTTAAGCAAAGGGTATCGTTACTAACGTGAATATAAAATAATATCCTTTATGGACTTGTAATAGCAATTTTAAGTTCTAAACATAAATCAAAGCATTAATACATAAAAAAAAAAGGTAAACTCTTAATTTAAGCATTTAAGGGGAGAGGGGGGAAGAAAGAAGAAAGCTATAAATTTTTCAATGGTTAAAATTGACAATAGTGTATACATATTAATATGTACATGTGTGTGTATACAATCCATTTTTCTCCAAACGTAGAGATATCATTTAAAAAACTAAAAATATTAATTTAATTAAAACCGCACCTCAGGAACACAGGATGGAAGTTTGTTACAGCCTTGAAGTTAATCTTACAACAAATGAATAGTTGGGTGAGTTACACACAAAGTGACACCCTCTGTTCCAGAGGTATTTGGACCGAGTGTTTTCATACATAAAACACTTGAAAACATCAACAATGTAAGCTGAGCAACATTAAATATTGATGTGAAAAGTTATATTTCATGAACCGGTTGAATTTGCCCATTTCTTTGGTACTTGCTTCATATTTAATGCTGAATCCTATATTAGAAATTACAGTAAACGTATACCATACAAAATAGAGCATCTTGGAAAACTTATAATTCTGTAAGCACTACCTAAATTTACAGTGTTTATGAATAACAAAACAAAATCTACAAGTTAAAGTTTTAGTTAAACTGCAGTGAAAATACTTAGAAACTTGTTAATTCATACTTAGCAGATTCCAGTTTTCCTAGAAACTTGTTAATTCATACTTAGCAGATTCCAGTCTTCCTAGAAACTTGTTAATTCATACTTAGCAGATTCCAGTTTTCCCAACATCTTAACTCCACGGAATCCCAGGTGAATTCCAATGAAACACAGTGCAGTATTAATGTTAGAGTATCTCTAGATTTGAGAGAGAAAAATGAATTAAACACAAACTCATATATATACATACATATAAATGTTAATTTTCAGACATTTAAGGCTGCTAGAACCAGTGTGCCAAATTTATAGTTTCCTTCCCTTTAATTGCATAACGTTAATAATTTAATGAGCATGTATTTTATGTATATCCTAATATATATCTACTGCTGAATATTATTCTTATGAGTCCATAAAAGATATTATCTTGTCTTCATGTTATTAACTTTACAGTTTGCTAAGCTGGGTGAAAAAAAAAAGTTTAAAAATGATAGATGTTCCTGCTAATAATTACAACAATCACAGTGGTGCATATTGTTCAGCTTATAATTGTTCTAATCAGTACTTCATAGTGGAAAGAAACAGACCTTTCCCAAATCTCAAAGAGCAAGAAAAGGTCAGATATATTTATGTATTTTGTTTTATACATAAATAGTTTATTAATGATCACAAGCTATTAATTTTCAACAATCTGTTCCCACATAGGTAGGCAATCTAGAGTTTAATATCTAAATGAAATTGAAGTTAGAATATTCCATTACAGACTTCAATTTAGGCTTCAGTAAACAGAGCTGTAATACTTAATAAAACACTGGATAATCAATATGATAATCAGAATTGTGGTGAAATTGAAAAAAACAATATATTATTGAATAGGCTTAGCTTTCATTCATTGGATTTAGTTTTATTTTCACCCATTCTTTGATTTGATGGAATAACTACAAAATCATAACCATAAAAAAGTTACAGGCCTATCATGAACCTAAAAAAAGTAAATATTAAGTAAACATGGCTACCACTGATTTAAATTTCGTGTCAATCAGCCAGAATTCAGAAATAAATATTTTCCTGTGTTTCTAAATTTCAGATTCAGATTGTCAAGATTTGCAAGTCACATGTGGATGCCTTATAATAATTAAAGAAAAAACATGTACAAATATAGATGTGGACATTACACGAGTATTTCCTTGTTTTACAGATTTGCATGTTGTATACAACATTAGCCTTGTATTTCACAGGAAACCGTATAGGAGATAATAATTAATGTATAAGAGAAACAAAAATTGAAAATGCAGAAAAAAAGCTGCATAAGATGAAAACAGATAATGAGGTAATCTAGGCTAGCAAATCATTTTCCTCAAAATGTGTGGTAAATTTTTTTCACTCAACTATGATAACAAAGACAGACTGACATAGATACAGATGAAATGGCGATGACGAACTCATTTCAATGTCTATGTATTAGTAATGACCTGGAACATATAGAATATTAACCAAATTACTCAAATTGTCTTCTGGTCAAACCATCCAATAATAAATACAATTTGTTTCTTCAAAACCAGGTTTCAGACTCCATTTTGAAACTTTCTTCCAAAAGATTTGAAAGAATGTCTGATAATAAACAATGTGTATTGCATCTGATGAAAGCTGGCCTGAAGTTTGAAAATACAAGTGACGGCATCATGGTCAGACTATGAAGACTGCATACGAGGCAAATGTTTTATGGATGAAGAGTTAAAGAAATGGTGTAAACAATCTATTAGTTGGTCACCAACTAAAGTAATGGAAATACCGTTACATGAAGCAAATGAAAAAAAATTAAATGTGCTGGTGACGTTTTCAGAGCTGTTCTCTGTGACCAATCAATCTTTAATTTTGAAGCTAGGAGTGACAATACAAAAAAATCAAACACCGAAAAAAGATGTCTGTAGGGGGGGTTCTCCCCCCCAGAAAATGAGAAACAAAATTCTTTCTTTATTCATTCAGCATATGTATATGAATTTTTTATTCTTTTCACAATTTTACACTACTTTGCCCCCCCTTCCTTCAAAATACCTATTCAGAAAAAATAACAAAAACATTTTGATCTACATATAACACTAACAATTACAAAAAAAAATGTCTGAAAACAAACTCATACATAATTACATTTTATTCTGTTTATGTACAATATAAAACACACATTTATTTAACATACAAAGTTTTCATATAAATGGAAGGATAAACAAGATGTTAAAATTTCAAACTAAAAACTTCAATACATATAGTTTGTGACATGAGGTCTAGTTATTACCATGATATTTTTCTCGCATTTTTTCACCTCTGTGTTTTGACCTGTGATGAAGTTTTCCTTCAGAGCCAGCTCCACTTTTATGAGTTTTCTGACGACCTGTTTTTTTTGGCTGTTGAGGTTTTTCTTTTGAACGAGGATTTAGTAAAGGGTGACACTCTGTAAATAAGTAACGAAATATAGACAAACATATAATGTAATATGAGAAAGCAAATAATGAAATATTTTACAATTAACAACAAAAACAGAATCATTAAACATCTACATTCTGTAATATACAAGTGTTGTTTAATGATTTAATATAGACTAATAAATGAAAGAAAAACTATATATCTTAATTTTACACCTAGTAAAATATTAGTTGCATACAAGCCAAAGAAGCATTATCTTATCCACAGAGACCACATGTTCGAAAATAATATCATTTGGGTTAGGATGTATAACTAACAGTCACAAATCTGCTTCAAAATTAATTTGACAGTGAACAGAGGCAATTGTGTAGATACATTAATTTCAGTCACTTTAAAATACAATGTAATTATGTATATCACTAGAAAGCACACACTAGAAGCAAGTTTTTTACATGTTAGATATAACTTTCAAATGACTAATTTACAAAAATCTTTAAACCATTGATGCTTTAAGATAATAAATACAGTGAATTACAAAAACCTTCTAATCAGAAAGTGTATTATAATAACTCTATAACCTAATTCTCACTAGGGAATGAACCTGATATTAGACCAAATAAATTACACAAATACAGAGAACTCATTGTAGTAAGAAAGATACTTAGCCAAACATTAATTTTTTTGACAATCAAGAAAAAAGAGAGAAAATTAAGAACTTATTTTTAAGTTACGTATAAATAACATTGTATGTTATTCATGTATGTTACTTTCAGATGTATAACCAAAAAGAAAACAAGATCTCCAGCAACCATTGAAAAGGCAACTCAGTAACTTACATAAACACCTGTACATGACCAATACTTGTATATTTATTTCAAATTAATAATAATGTTCTAATTTAGTCTACCTTTTAAAAAAAATGTCAATAAACTTAAACCACTTATTCACAAAGTTAAAAAGCATAAAAGTTACATTTCTTTCATTGGATTAAGCAACACAATACTAAAATCATTAAATTAAATATTTTAGTTATAGAAACAATCAGCTTGTTTGTTTTGTTTTTTGTTTTTTTAATTTTGCGCAAAGCTAACACAAGGGCTATCTGTGCTAGCCATCCATAATTTAGCAGTGTAAGACTAGAGGGAAGACAGCTAGTCATTACCACTCACCGCCAACTCTTGAACTACTCTTTTACCAATGAATAGTGGGATTGACCATCACATTATAACACCCCCATGACTGAAAGGGCAAGCATGTTTGGTGAAACAGGGATTCGAACCCGTGACCCGCAGATTGCAAGTCAAGCACCCTAACCACCTGGCCATGGCGAGCAGAAACAATTAGTCAAATGTTAATTCTTAAATGTGTTGAGTGAGTCCCAACTAATGCACAACCTCAGGTGACAAAAACAATTACTGATGTTAAAAAAAAACACTAATATGTTTATCAAAAGAAGAAAGATTTTGTAAGTTAACTGATAAGCACAGCACAAAGCTACACAATTCGTTATCTGTGCTGTGACTACTATGAGTATTGATATCCAAATGTTAGCTTGATAAGCTCTCAGACTTACCACTAAGCCACCATGGGACAGGAGAGAGAGAGAGAAATATATGTTTAACTGTTTAATTTGAGATAAGAATTTCATTATATACTTTCAGAAAATTCTGGCTTATAAATTTCTGTATACAATAACAGCAGTTAGAAATTTGACTGATATTCAAACCCTAATTTTTGAGAGACAAGTTATTTTCTAAAATAACCATAATTCACATAAGCAGACAAAACACTAAAATGGAAAAAAAAATTTTCATGAAAAACTTGCCATCTTTAGGGGCATCTTGCAACTCAATTTCTACTGTCTTTAATTTCTTCTTTTTGGTGCTATGATGGTCTGTTGATGACGGGGGTCTTTTTAAGTTAGACTCTTCTAAAGGCTACAAGATATATATATATATATATATATATAAATTCACTTAAAATCATGTTAATCAGATATGTCACATAATCACAAACGTCAAATATAAAACTGATAACTTTTTCAGGGGCTCATTACATAACCACAAACTCCAGGTACTTTATTTGGGTGCCCAATATTACACTGTGACAACTTTTTCCAGGGGGTAATTACAAAAAGCACAAACTCCAGACACTTTACTTGGCACCCAATATTACACTGTGATGACTTTTTTCGGGGATTTGTTTTACTATAAATGATTCTATTATAACGGAGGTACCTTGAAATAAAAGTAATTAGTGTTTATGTTGTGACTCATGAACCTTAGCATAAACAATATATAATGTCACATGTAACTACAGAGTTTTAACAAAAAAAAGTATGAATTATTGGAAAGTAGACATGTTATTAAAATCATACAGAATCTTTTGTATGAAATAATATGACTAGCAATGTATCTAAAAAAAAACAAATCATTAAGGCACTTGAAAGTAATTTTAAAGAACACACAGATAAATAAATGTAAAAGTATTGTTTGTACCAATACAATGTTGTAAAGTAAATAAACTTCCAGTCATTAAATGGAACTCTTGTAAACAATAAAATAATCTGCAATAAGAATAAAAAGCAGAGAGATAGCCTTTTAATATTCTCCTCTCAGCTCATATTTTTATTATTTTTGAAGAAAAACAGTTTTCGTTCTAATATGTACCTAAAGGTTGGAAATACAGTATGACATAATATAAATAAAGAATCTTTAATTGAAAAAATTGACTGACAATATTTGTTTCGTTAAGAAAAATAGATAATAAAACTCTCTGTTCTTAATACCTGGTCATGTAAAGGTCCCCAACCTTCTTCTGGCTCATCAATTTCTGGAGAAATAGGCAGATACATTAAGGCCTCTTCATCATCTGCTTGATCTTCATCACTATTATTAATACAAACTCCAGTAACATTCTAGAAACCTTTTTCTTTGTTCAAACTCTGCACTTGCAATTTGTAAGATATTTATCACCACAAATCATTGGTTGTTTGCACAAATGCTATAATACATTTAGTTTAACATTTAAAAAAAGAATAGAAATAAAAAATAAAGTTTGAGCTTAGATTATATGCGTCAAAATATTTTAGAATTGGGAAGGACATATTTTTAACTACCTCCATTAGTTTAACCCTGTCATTTCTATCCACATCTTTCAAGGATTTCATTCACCCAAGCTGACTATAAAAGTTTGGAAAATCATCTCAAGTAATAATTTATCTCTTATTATTATTATAAATTTTACATACTATATGTTTATACTCAAAAAGAAGAAATGATTCAATGGTAATTCATCCAACTATGGATATGAAATATGAGGAATAGAAATACTTGAAAACTTAAAAATAATGACAATCTTTATTCTGTTGCGCATATTTATATATATATATATATATATATATATATATATAAA